TCTCCCAGACAACACGAGGCTGTGTTGTTATTGTTTGCGGACTGCCGCTACTTATTATTGATACGAAACGCCGTTAAATAAAATATAGTCTCGTCGACGCCGCTTTTGCTTTTGCATCAGCAAATGTCGTCCGATTTATTGCCGAGCTGATCCTTTTCGCTTTGTCCGCTCGCTGGCCGATACTCCCCCCCCCCTCTCTCCCCACCTCGCTCGACCCCGCCGGTCGTACAGCCGCCGTGCTGATCAAAGCAATACTAGGTGAGAACGACAGTTAACTATAATGGGAGAGTGCTCACGAAATAAGAATAATCATGTACCATCAGAAATAAGGATAAGTTCCCGTCGAAGCGCAAGCAGAGAGGAGCACTCGTCTAAATTGACCTCGCGTAGTGTGTGGGTCGCGTCCGGTATGAGAAACTGTTCTTTGTTTTCTCTTCGTGGGATTTCTTGCAGGACGACGATGACAATACCACGGACCTACAATCCGTGGAAGATGAAATGAAGGGGTGGACACGAGCCTTGTAGAGAATTTCAGTGAATCCCAGGGCTGGAAGTAAGAAGTAAAATATAATCAAAAATATGTTGCAGTTGACTGCGAGTCTGGTGGGGGTATGAGAAATATACGTTGTGTGACTGAAAATAAACAAACGAAGGGTGGAAAACCTCGGATTTCTCATACCCCGACGGATCGCAGTAAGCTGCTGGTTCAGCCATTTTTGATTCCGGTGTACTTTCTTACTTCACAGTAATGCCTATCCTATTTTTGGTTATGGCATGGCTCTGTCCCCGTGGACCGCGAGTGCTGGTTTGTCGGGTATGACTGACTACCACATGGTACATGGTGTACCCCCAAGCAGGTATGTGCACCATGAGGTAAATGAGTATCATATGCCACACCTGCCAGGCGGGCAGGGCGGGCGATGCAGAGCTCGGGTGCGAGCCGAAACCGTGCCGTGGGGTTGGTCCGGCTCTGGCGCCCCGCGCTCGCTCAGTCGTCGCCCAGACGCGGCGCGCTCCGGTCGAAACGGCTCTCGCCCTACTGCTCCTCCACGGCCGCGGTGTGGCGTCGGAGGTGACGCCGAGCGTCCGTACGCGCGAGCCGGCGGGGCCCTCCACGCCCACGGCCGTCGAGGAGAGTGACAGAGTGACACGGGTTAGCTGCACTCCAAGGGCGGCGGCGGCGGCGCGTGCGGGCGACGCATGAGTGACACGTCTGTGACAACGTGTGTGACGCGGGTGTGACACGGGTGTGACACGACACGGAGGTGGCCCAGGACACGCGCGACCCCGACACCTGCTGACACGACGTCGGCACCGGCGGTCCGCTTCATGGGGTCTGAGGACGTGACCAGAACCAAATAAGGTGAGTTCAATAACATTATCGCTTGAAAAAATCAATTCGGAAAAAAAGGGGGAATTTGGTGCACACTGTGTATTAAAATGCAGTTTATTTTATTTACAATCTCGGCTGTAACAGCAAGCTACAACCCCACCTTTAAGTAAAATTCGATGCCAGGTGTGTAAACTGATGGCGTGAGTTATTGTAAAAGGATTGCTTCAAAGCAGCATAGACGGATCCTCGTACTTTTGATGTGAAGTTGCCTTATTAGCGAGGGGGCAACAACTCCGGGAATCATGTGTACCGGGTGTAACTGAAAATACGCAGCAGTGTTGCGGGATCGCATGCTCAATATAGCCGCAGGGGCCATGGCCCCTTAGGGATGTAAAGAGTAGACGAACGCGCAACACTGCTGCGCATTCACAGTTACACCCGGTAAACCTGCCTGGGAATCATCAGGATAAAAAATTACCGAAATAATGGAAATCGCTTAAACTAAGCGGGAAACTAGTGAAACTGGTACAAATTAGTCAAAATAAGCGTTTTCTACCACTCGAAAACCTAAGGAGTACGTGTAAGCGGACGGGAATCACTGAGAATCAAGTATTTCGGGAATCATTTGTACCTCATTTTCCACTTCCGATGTTTTCATTTGGGTTCAGCGAAATTTTACAACTAAAGCTATACATTGGCTACGCTCGCTGAACTGCGCTGTAAACAAATATAACAAGCCCTTGACAACTCAAAAATTAGCTTACAAATAGTTGAAAAATTACAGAAAAAAATTAATAGCACAATTCTTTATGAAAATCGGTTTTTGAGTAAAAGTTAGTAGTTACTGCGCCCTTCGCGGGTTCTCGCTTAGCCGCAAGGTTGGGCTTTAGGCCACGGCCACCGCGAGGAGGTAGCACGCGGTGTCGCGTCGCAGTGACGCTTGATCAATGTACCGCACGTCGGGTTTCTTGGAACCTCTCTGGGCCCTCGCGGTTACGCCCCCTCCCCTTTTCTCAGGTGGCGTCAGGACGAGACCTTCTCCCTGAGCGCGTCTGCGGCTAGCGCGTTAGCAACCTCACGGTAAACAGTTTTTCTTGGATTAGAAGGTTATTTCGTCAATTTCAAGGACGGGTGGATAGTTTCAAGATCGACCGTTGAAATTCCAGAATCGCCTTGTCAACCATATGCTCCCAAGGGAAAGCCTTGGAAATTCACGTCTGGTAATCCAAGGCAACCCCTTGCATATCCGACTTGGAAGCGGATGGTTTCAAAGCAGATTCTGGGGTTTCAAGGGTCGATCATGAAATTATAATATTATTCCATCGGCCTTCACGGTAAGATCGTCCCTCTTACTACAAAATTCAAATAGGAGAGTTTCAGACCACTCCTTTATATTCCGTCCAGTTTTTATCGGTATGAGAGATCACTTTTTTGTCCCATTTCCTCCACTTATTACTTTTCCCGGCGCGGGGGCGGGTGCCTCGGCGCACACCCCGCGCCGACCCTACCGCCGGACCCGTCCGCACACGCGAGGGCCCGGGGATGCCCTTTGTCCGCCACGCCGCGCCGCCCCCGCTGTTTGGAAACTAATTTGCTATGATCAAAGCTGGCTTATTGCCACACTACCACTACTTGTTGGTGCGTACCGCACCCGCCGCCGCAGTGGGCTCAGCTCACGGCTCACAGTGCTGCCCGGCGCGGGCCGGCGGGCGGCGGGCGACAGGACTCCACCACCACCCCGAGCCCCTAGGGTCACAGGTGGTCCAGGCACCCTTCACCCGAAGGTACCCTAGAGCAGGCTGCAATACCCCTAGCTTCAGCAGGTGTGGATCCACACCGCCGCGATTGAGGTACTGTACACAGACACGCGGACCGTTCCTTGCTCGGGCCGGTAGGCGGCGGGGTTGCCCAGGGTGGGCGAGAGATTCTTTCCTCCAAGGCCACACCGACGAGGCCGCGGAGGCTGCGGCGCCGGCCCAGTTCACAACTCGGCAGGACCGTCGCACAAAGGGGACAAAACAAAAATAGCGGCTCAGACAGACAACGGCCGGCCGCTCCGGCCCTCCTCCCGGTGTGTAGGCGACCCAACCCCTCCTTGCCGCGCCAGTGCGGCGAGGCGAGACGGGCGCCCCCGAACCCGCCGCCCGTACCCGTATCGCAAAATACTAAAACTGTATAGTTTTTATTTTAAAATCGAAAGTTTTATATTACAATAGATAAAATTGACAAATTGACACATTTTAACATTTACGATGCCTCCTGCAGCTAGTTGTCTCCGGTTGTCTTTGAAGTAGACATCTGAAACATCTTTCGTTTGGAAGGGACTGACGACCGCAAAGAAGGCTGCTGCTGACAGGACAGACGTTATAGCGTCATTTTTAGTTTTGGACGACTTTTCTCAGATCGTGAGATATTTCTCACAGTGTAGCCCGGGCGAACCTCGCGCCTTATTAGTCGTCAAAAGGATCAAGGGGAGCCGAGTCCTCCTCCGGCGGCCCCGCGCCCCGCCCCGCCGGGCCCGACACGCCGCCGCGGCTCTGTTGTCAGCGCCCCGCGGTTTGTTCCATCGAATGTTGTTGCCTAGCCGGCTCCGGGCGGCCCTCCAGGAGGATCGCTTTGGCAGGATTAAACAGCCCCCCTTCCCCCTCCTGCCCTGCGGTCGGCTCTGCTGCTTATCGGCAATCCCTCCCGCAGGAGTGACGACTGTTATCGACTGACCGCAGCGCCACAGAAACAGGCATTATACCTGGAGCGGCGTGCGCGCAGCCGCCGATTATGACAATCATTGAGCCAACGTTAGTACACTCTTACAGGCACGAGAAAAATGAGATCGCAGTGCATTTTAGGTCAGGCGCGGCCCCCTGGGGTGGGTAGGCAATGTGTTCGACAAAACCCCTGAAAGTAGGCAACCTACAGCAAATCGCCCCCTCCGTCAGACGGACTTAAAACCGCGCCTGTCTAGATTCAGCTCAGAACGTGTTTTTAGTTCTACCGCGGATAAAAGACAATGATTGCGTGCGATCCAGTTTTGGTGTCATCTTTCATAAAGCTGATCGTCGGTGACGGCACGGCGGATATACGAATCCAGCCTGTAGGCCGCCTCTCGGCCGCCTCCCATCGCAGGTGCAAAGCTGGAGCGTTTATCGCTGCGTCTTCTTTTATTTGGGTAAAACGAAGAGGAAAAGGGGGAAGGGGAG